TTAAGATACTGTTATTTGATGTCTAGTGAAGATATCATTACAATTGTAAAATGTTGAATTTTTTAAGGGAATGAGAATAAATATTTTTTGTTTCTTGTGCTTAATTTGTTTTCTTGAGGAACTTACTTCCCCCATTATTTCCAAACTCTGAGTTTGAGCAGTTATGTTACTTAAGACCAGTATCTTGAAGAGCAGTGGAAAGATAAAATGCAAAAAAAAAAAAAAAAAAAAAAAAAGGAAGTGCATACTATTATGGGTATGATTAGCCCAAGGGCACACTTTTATGGATCAATTCACTCTTTTTAGCAGCTTTAGGAAATTAAGACAGTGTATCTTCACCCTAATGTAATCTGCTATAGGGTGGATTTCCATATACTTTGAATTTGCTTTGCACTCTTCCAAAAGATATTTAGCCTTTGGGAATAATCCCTAATTAACATAATCCTTTGGGAACCATACCAGGCAACATTAGCTTTATTGTAATTAGTAATTGTGAAGTCCTTTGTATTTCAAGAAAACACACACACACACACACAGACTTGTTTCTCTTGGGAAGTGCTTTATTATCCTTATTCTATATTAATAAACCTGGAATTCAAAAGAGGCTAAATTAGATGCTTGTGGGCACGCAGAATGTAGTTATAGAGCAGGAACATCCTCCACTTTGCCCCATCCCACTTCTCACTATTTTCACTGCAGCTTTTATGACCTCCAGACATCGTTGGGAATTTTGTAGAAATTAGAAAAAACAAGCTCCCCCAAATGGACAAAAATACCTGCCTCTGCCGGGGATGAAATGCAATTAAAGATAAGAAGTTTATGACTCCAACAAGTCTGAGCTTTTTTCACATTTGGCCTTTCCCTAATCGGCAGGATTCACTAACTTGTAGAAGCATAAGGCTCCATAGAGAGTTTTGTGCATGTCATTAAAGCAACCTGCAAGATCAAGGTGACTTTGTGAAGTTGGCTTCTGGAGAAAATTCAGATGATGGCTAAGGAAGGTTTTCATTCTTTGTCCATTTTCTCATGACTGCATCAGTTTCAACTTGCAATAAATAGATGATGAAAATATTTGACATTCGATGCAGATGCCAGTAATTAGGTTTTGTTTTGGTTGGGTTTTGGTTTGTTTCCATGAAAAAGCAAGAGTTCACACCTGAGTATACAGAAAGGAAGTAGTGAGGCTGCCAGGAATCCCAAGTATGAAAATGATACCAAATAAGCTCTCACAATGAGAAAGACTCTTACCAGTAATGCAGGTCTAAGTTATAGCAATATATAAAAGTTTGTATGTATCTGTAGTGTACAGTATATACTTGGCATTGCTTTCTTGTAAATATTAATTGATTTGATTGTTATAACAACTCTGTGGGGAGAATTGTATTGTTTCCCCCATGTTCCAGAAGACACTGAGGCTAGAGAGATTAAAAAAACACAGACACACAGTGAATATGTTGTAGAGCTACGATTCAAACTTGGAGATCTAGCTCTAGCATGTTATTCTGCCTCTTAAGCAAAATCAGAAATTTCAGTGCCTGCAAAATTGGAAAACATTCCTGTCTTTTGACCCAGTGTTTTTATAGTAATAGTTAGTTTGTATTGGTAAAGATATGGGTCCAAAATTTTTCAATGAAGTGTTATTTCTAATAATGCTTATGTGTGCATGCACTTGTGCAGGTGATTGCATACACACACACACACACACACACACACAAATATCCACCCAGATATCCATCATTAGGGGAGTGATTAAATTATGCATATCCATCATCCTGGGAAATGCTAGGCAACTGATACAAACTATGAGGTAGAAGAATCAGTATGCACACAGAAAGAAGACTAAAATTGGCTGAGGGGAAAAAATTTGCAAAACAATGTGAGTAAGACCATTTTTTTTGCAAAAATATTAGTGATAAAAACAGTGGAAGATGAGGAAAGATTACTAGGTAATGAGAGAAGGAAAACCATGGTAGCATGTGTGCTAAATAACTGCTAATTCTTTCCATTGGCATATGATACAACAGGGTACATGTGTTTTCAGTGATGTTTATTTAACATGTATTTTTTGGAAGTCTGCTACATACCAGGTATCAGATGTTGATGATATGCGTAGAACTTATATTCTAGTTAGAGAAGATAGAAAATTAGCAAATAAAAAGATTAACATTTGGATTTTGATAAGCAGTCTGTGACTTTTATAGCAAAAATACCTTTTTTTTAAATTAAAAAAAAAGTGGAGACCATTACCAAAGAAAAGGGAGGGAGGTTCTAGGAGTGTTTGAAGCTTTTCTGCTTTTTGGAGGATTGGTTGTGAGGTAAGAGCCTGGTAACCAAAATAAAGCCAATGGAATGGATCTAATTTTAGGTCCATCAGTTCAAACAGTGCTCCAAGACTTAGATGTGTTCTGGGAAGTAATTATTTTTGGTTAACTATTTATATGTGGAGATAAATTGAATATTTTTGTGATTCTTATACTTTTCACAAACACTTATTTTAAAAAAATATAGACTATGTTGTTTCCTTTATTATATTAACCTTCCTACTAGGAAAAGCTCATCATAGAAAACATTGTATTACTATGTGTTTTTACATTTAAAAGATTATGAATTCTCAAATAGATCAAGCTAATTCCTTTTTATGAAGTCATTAGGTAAATTAGGAGTTAATGTCAGATGGACTTTTTCAGCTGTTCATCAATAATTATTATTTTATTATAAATCTCAAATTTTACACTGCTCAGAATTATTGGCTTATAATACAACATAGGAGAATTAAGTAATGTTGGAAAATAGCATTTTTCCCAAGACCATATTAATTAGTGTTTTTTAAGTTCAATCTTTATGCTCTAATTTTAACAATTTAAAATCAAATTAAAACTGATCTAAAACAGTTATTACTGTTTATATTAAAAGTGTTATTCAAAACAGTACGGACAGTGCTCAAGTATGAATTAAACACTAGATGCTTTATATGTTCCAGTGACTCTGATCTCAAGAAATCTTAGTCAAAACAGAAAGACAGTTAGGTTGAAAACAGAAAAATAGGCTGGGTGCAGTGGCACATGCCTATAATCCCAGCACCCTGGAGGCTGAAGCAGGGGAATCCCAAGTTCAAAGTCAGCTGTGGCAACTTTGTTTAATCCTGTCCCAAAATAAAGAATAAATAGGGCTGGGAATGTAGCTCAGTGGCAGAGGGAGCCAAATCTGAGTGATCTGTAGTTTGTTACCACTGATAGATACCCTCTATGCTTCCCTAACCTAAGTCCCTGAAAAGCAGGGTTAAATATTTAATTATTTAAGTACCTAAGTGTAGCTGGACCGAGTACCTAATGGGAACACTAAGTATCTCCAGGCTAAATTGCTGGAAATTCAGAACCTCTTCCCCTGCAGCTTCCCTCTAAGTCACCTCAGTGGATAGGAGATGCTGCTTCTTGCCAATTATGTTTGCCACAGAGGTCTCATTTTTCTAGCTTTGCTTTTCTCACAGCCAGATCCAGATAACAAGCAATTGCTTCTTGTTAGGTAATACAGGTAGGAAATTTAAAAACCTTTTAAAATAAAAAGCACATCATCAAAACCTTGAGTCTATTATTATGGATGGATATAAAGGAGCTGACATGTGCCATCTTCCAAGGATATTTGAAGTTTTCATTCTGTTTTTGTGTATGTACACACACACAAACACACACAGGCACATACATACACTTATATCTGTGGTTATCCAAATATATGTACACATTATGTTGTACTAAATTTACCTATCTGTCCCCTTTCATTATTCATATAAGTATATAAATTTAGAAATCATTGATTACATTTCTCATACCAAAGTTGAAAACAAAATCCAATAGAGGTGAAAAATAAAATAAAAATAGCTGCAGTTATTTACTTGTCAGGCAAGAGAGAGCCAATAACAGAAGCACAGAATTTAGGGGTCTCTTCAGACTGGAAGCAGGAGTGATAGAAGTGGGTACATATTAGGATAGTAACCTAGGAAATATTCACAAGGACTAAACTGTGGTGCGTTAAGAAGGTAATTATAAAGTTTCTCATGGGATTGATATGATTTCTATGTTAGTATACAAAAGTTCAGACATAATTTTCGAAGACCTGTAAATGGCTCAGGGTCCTGTAGCAGATACTTCTCTATGCATGTGCTCGGCACTTGACAGATCTCTTTAATCCTCTGAAGAGAACTACATAACACCAAATAGGATCTTGCAGTCTGTGAAGAATATTAGCTCAGCCATTCTGTTAAGTGTGCACAGTGAAGATGCCTATTCTACAGCCAAAGGACTGGCAGCTCAGACAGGTGGATTTGCAAACATTGAGCAAACATTCATTCACAAATCATGCCTTAGGCTTTATTGTTCCCCAAGCTTGCCTCCAAATAGACTCACCAGTTCTCATTTCTTTGCTTTCTCTGAAAGAAAAAAAAAACCCAAATATTGTATTGCTTACTTAGGAATTATAGAATTCTTAAATGACCATTAAGAGGTTGTGCACACTATTTTTGAGCTCTGAAACCAGGATTTATATTCTGAGCAAACAGCATCACTGTAGCCCACCTAGGTTACCTGATTCATATTCCAGATTCTTTTCTTCTTCTTTGCTGCTTTTATTATGTCTCACTGACTTTTTCTACATTTAAATACTTCATCAAGTTACATACATATCAAAAAATATATAAATACCCCAAATGGCTTTAAAAGCATTTAGAGATTGCCTATTTACAGCATCCAAAGTTTCTATGACAGGATTCATGTACCAAAAAACACAAGTCTATCTAGTGAAATATAATTTTATGTAGAGTGTTTAAGATAATCATTAATTTTAGAGTCATATTACACTAATGACATTGACAGATTGCCAAATTTACAAAAAGCTACTCTAATTTTCTTTCTAAAGCCCCCAAATAAAATGAACAGAGGATAAAACACACAAGATATTAGCCATGTCTTTGATCTACCCTTAATCTCTTCCTGATCTCTGTTCTCCAGGTGGGAGAGTTCCGAGCACATGCTGCGGAGTGGACAGCCAATGTCACAGCCGAATTCAAAGAAACCAGGAGGCGGCTCAGTGTGGAGATTTACGACAAGTTCCAGCGTGCCACCTCCATTAAACGCAAGCTCTCTGCAGAACTGGCTGGGAACCACAACCAGGAGCTGACTCCTTGTAGGAGGACCCTGTCGGTAAATCACCTGACCAGCGAGAGGGACGTCTTGCCTCCCTTATTGAAGACTGAAAGTATCTATCTGAACGGTTTGACGCCACACTGTGCTGGTGAAGAGATTGCTGTTATTGAGAACATTAAATAGCCCTCTTTTGGAAGAGCCTTAGGCGTAGCCATAGGTGAGGACTGCTATCTGCTCTTTATGACTGTTGCTGGTAGCATTTTAAAAATTGTGCATGAGCTCACAAGGGGAAGCAAATAGATACACCCATCACGGTCATGTACCATCAAGAGAATTGGGAATGCTGAGCCAGCACTGTCTCTCTGATGATGCTTGTAAAATGGTCCACTTTCTTTGATGAGTGGAAGGATAAGCAATGTCTGATGCCTTTTTATGGCCAGACTGTTTTCCTCCCCTTTTTCCTAATGTGCCATAAGGCCTCAGAATGAATTATAATTTGTTTTTTGGTAATAATGTAGCTTTGAAGGATCAGTCCTTAACTTTTCAGGGTCTACCTAACTGAGCCTAGATATGGACCATTTATGGATGACAACATTTCTTTTTGTAAATGGCAAGAAATTCTTATGCAGCCTTTTACCTAAGAAATTTTTCTGTCAGTGCCTTATCTTATGAAGAAACAGAACCTCTCTAGCTAACGTATGGTCTCCCCTTCCCTGCCCCCACCCTAGGCTCCCCTCTGCAGTCTTTTCCCCCCAGTACTCCCTTTTGAATACCATACCTTGCTGGAAACAGTGTGTTAAGTGACTGAAGTGGTGATGCCCAAGGAAGAAATAGATTCCAAATTTGAAAGACATTGAAGCAACACTCAGAAACTCTAGCATTAAAGGCACTGCAGAGAAAGGAGGTGCAAAGATGGGCCCTATGAGTATTTATTTGACTCAGGTACCAGTGGTACATACATACAGTATAATAATTACCAGGCTGGTAACATTGGCTGCTCCCAACCAGTCTCTTTATCCCTGGCAGTATTTTGGAATATCTGAAAATTTATCATTTATTAATAACTATACATTTTTAAAGGCAGAAGAAAGTAAATATATATATATATATATATACATATATATATATATACATGTATATGCGTATATGTATACATATATATATATATATATATGTATTTATATGATCTGACCGAAGAAAGCTGTTACAGATAGGTATTACAAGAGGTGATTTTAAACAGTTGGTGCAAATTCATTCTGATGAAAAGAAAGTAGCAAAACAATGTGTTAACGAGTATTTGCTAATAAGCATTTTACTGCCAGTCTCTACTTGCTTTTTGATATATGAAAGACTTATATCACTTTCTTTCCTTGACGGCTTTTGCCATACGAGGGGAGATGATACACAGTGAGAGGAACGTGCAGTCCAGCCCTCTGTGGGTACCTTTGGAATTGTGACTGGGTGTGAGAACAGAAGTGGCAACTGGAATCACTGTGATTTTGCACATGGGAAAATGCAGAGTGCTGGCAGAATTTGTCTCTGACATTAGAGAAAACGCTGTTATAGCACAATTTAAATCTTGAGAGTTATTTTTTTTTAAATAGAAAGGCTGATAATCCTTTTGAGTTTAATTTTATATCCTGTAATTCTTTGGATGTTTCCAGGATTCAGAGGAAAATTCAGAAAAATTTACTGTGCTCAGTAAATCGCTACCCTTTCCTTTATTTTCATACTCAGATCTGCTGTACATTGTATATATAATTTTTGAAATGCATAAAGAAAATGATTTCCCTATATATAATTGCAAAATTGATTTACTTTGTTTTTGAGGGGGGTGGACATATCTGAACAAGCGGCATTCAGATTAGACTCTTAAAAAAATAAACCCAGGATCTTTAAAAAGCAAACTAATAGACAGTTATTTTCCAAAATTTACATTTAAACTAAAAATGTAAATATCCTGTTAACTTGTTAAAGGTACTTTTATAAACCTAAAAAAATTCTAACCAAAATTTTAGGAAGTCAGGCTCTTTTAGAAAGAAAGCTACATCCATTTCCTCAACAACTGTTCTGAAAGTTCATATGGTGGAATGCACCATGTATAAACTGTGAATTGTATTGACAAATAAAGTTTGTAATGAAAGACAGCATTTTCTGAGTCTCCTGCTTGCTGCTGAGAATCTAGATCTGATTCTGGCTAAGTCAAACTATAGGATGTCACTTTTCATGCCTGATTTTTTGTGGCATCTTCATTCACAATATTCAAGAAATATTTCTGATGCAGTAATGCTTCCTTTGTTAAATCACACAGAGTGTTCTTTTTTGGAGGCTATTTATCTAAATAAATATGCTAGAAATTCATTTTTTAATATGATATTTGAAATAACATATATATTCAAGATTTTTTCCATTATGTCAATATTTTATCACTGATGGACCTTGCTTCTAAAGTAGCTGAACACAAGCAACTGATTATTTTTTGTAAGAAAAAGGAAACCAAGCATCCTGATAGTATAGAAGCTCACATAAAGCAGTCATCAACCAAACTTTTAGACCTCAGACCTCAAATATTGGACTCCTTATTTTGTCAGTCTCCTTCATAAATTTACTGATTCATTTTAAAACAATTTGATGTTCCCTAAATATCTGAAAACCCTTCCCAACAATATCCTTAGGATTGGGGAAAATTTACCAAAGCCTAGTTAATCAATAATTAATTATATCTCAAACTTTATTTGGTTTACCCTAAGGGGAGAACACTGAAAAGGATTTTGACATAGTCTGGAATTTCTAGTGTGTTTATTTTTTTAGTGGAGCCGTATAAGAGTAAGGAGTTTTACCTTGAAGGACATTTGAAAAAATAAAATTAAGTACTAGAACCAGAAAGAATTGGAAACTCTCTGGTCTGTATTCTTAGACATGGCTCATAGACAGTGCCCTCATCCACCCTTCAGCAACTAAGTGTAGAAGTAATTCTTTTAGAAAACTTTCAATTTTTTTGTGGAGATCTATATACTTTATGGTTTATGCCACATGCCTTAGTTTCCTCCCCCAAAATATATCATTCTTGAAATGAAGGAAAAAGTGAAATTTCTGAAACCAAAACGGAATTGAATAACATGCTTTTTTGGCTGTCAAAGTAAAGGAGGGCACAGTTATAGGGCTTTCTCAAATTCCAAGGAACATGTGACATATAAGATAGACCAAATTCCACCTCACTCTGTGTCAAAACTCAGTACAATTTATTATTTTTTTTATTCTTAAAGCTGGAAGTTCAGAAAGACTTAGAAAACAAGGAATGCCAAAAATCAAACTTAAGATATTCTGAAAACTTGAGATAGCTATTTTTGCTTAGGAACTAAAGGTCTGGATCAACTTTTACTTTTTTGTCTTATTGCTTTAAATTTTTGATGTTCTCATAAAATCATAACTTATTTGTGGTTTGCATTTCTTACTAAAGTGTGAGTATAAATTTGTTTTGAATAAAGATGTCTCTATTTGAATCTCATTAACTATTAAAATTAATATATGATTTTGCTTTAGCATGAGTTGACTGAAATGTTCTTTTACAGTGAAACATACTGGCTCTGAACGCGCTTGTGTGTCAGTTTCAAGGTAGCATGCAGTAACCTGGTTACTTTTGATAGAAACTTTGGAGGTAACTTATTTTCATATTAATAAGGAAAGCATCGTGAGCTACCTGTTTTTTGCATCCACAGCCCCAACACAAAGGTCAAAGTCTCTTTTGTGATATTTTTCCACCCATCAACTACTCTTTCCTGAAAGATGGGATTGGTTCCAATAACCAGGAATTGTGACTCTGGTCTTTTGTTTTGACTCAATGCTGTTTGTTCAATAAAACCCAGCTTATACTATTTCTAATATTCATAAAACAATTTATTATTTCCTTAGTTTTAGCTTTATAAACATTTCTACTTTGTCAACATGTCTTAATTTATAATTCTTTTTTATTTTGATTTGGTATGTCTCTTCAAAATAGTTCTGTGCATTAATCCCAAACTCACTTCCTACCTAGTCTTCATTCTGTATGTTTTCTATACTTAGTCTTGAATTTCTCTCTGGCTTCCAGGTCCACCTAGCTAACTCTCACTGGATATTTCCACTTCTTTTATTTAAATTAATTAATTTATTTATTCTAATTAGGTATATATGACATCAGAATGCATTTGATTCATTGTACACAATTGCAGCACAACTTTTCTTTTCTCTGGTTGTACACCATGTAGCGTCATACGATATGTGCAGTCACACATGTACCTAGGGTAATGAAGTCCATATCATTCCACTAACTTTCCTACCCCCAGGCCCCCTCTCCTCCCCTTTGGCCAATCACAGTTCCTCCATTTTCCCCATGCCTCCCCCCTCTGCATTTTGGATCAGCATCCACTTATCAGAGAGAACATTTGGCCTTTGGTTTCTAGGGTTGGCTTACTTCGCTTAGCATGATATTCTCCAATTCCACCCATTTACTTGCAAATGTCATAATTTTATTCTCTTTCAATTCTGAATAATATTTCGTTGTGTATATATACCACAGTTCTTTATTCATTTATATATTGAAGGGAATCTAGGTTGGTTCCACAGTTTAGCTATAGTGAATTGAGCTGCTGTAAACATTGATGTGGCTGCGTTACTATATTATGCTGGTTTTAAGTCCTTTGGATATTTTTACTTCTAAAAGGTATCTTGACACACCCAAGAATCCCACCATCTTTCCTCAACCATTGCCCTTTTCTGGTGTCATCTATTTCTGACAGTGGTACCACCATCCGTCTGCTGAGCAAATTGTCTTTGATATCTTTTTCTTTTCCTCCATTTTATGTCCACCTAGCACTAAGCTCTAATGACTTATAGCCTACATAAGACTTAAATTTGTACCTCTCCATCACTGTTACCTTATTCTAAGCCATTATCTTTCCATTTTTGCATGCTCCTGTCATTGCAATGCTCTATTTAATATGCAAATTGTATCATATCATTCTCTAATTTAAATATACTATTCACCTTTCATTATTTTAGGAGTAAATCCAGAATCTCTCAAATGGTCCAAGGTCTCTTTTGGTCCACTTTATGCCATCTTCTCCATACTCACCTTATATCACTCTCTACCTCTCTGTACCTCAGGCTATTGGATTACTCTCTTCTGTCTCAAGTTTATGTAGATGTTGGTTGTTCTTCTTGCCTGGGATGCTCACTCTCTTTTTACTCCTCAAAACCTTTTTCAATTAACACTCTCCTGCTCATTCTTCAGAACACAGCTCAAGAATCACTTTCTCTGATATCTCTTATACAATATCAATTCAGGTACACTTCTAACATTCTCTTTAGAATTCTGTTCCTTTTAATCAGCTTATGGTTCGATATTAATCACTACTTTTATTTGATATTATTCATGTCACTAGGTTGTAAATCATTTATATTAGCTTACTATTTTATTCCCAGAAACTAGCAAAGTACTCTTAGTAGGTGATCAAAAAATGTATGGGAAATGAATGAAGATAAATGCAGGTATTTAACTGTTTTAACAGTTTGAAGTATCTTTGTGTATGGTATTCCAATTTTTTTCAGCTACACAAACATTAATTTGTTCTCTTCTGGTAGCTTATCGGTAAATGTAATATACAAATAGGAGTTACTTCTAGTAACTGACAAGCTGGTGCTAGTTACTAATTGTGTGAATATTTTAAAAAACAAAGTCAGCTCTTCCATTAGAGAGCATTATTTGGCACTACACATGCTTACTTTTTGTCAACAAGGATTTTGTTATTTTCTTTTCCAAGTTTTTACTCACAGTAGATACTATCAAAGCCTTCCAATTACAATTCAATTCTAATTTCACTTAGAAATAAACTTCAAAACATATTTGAAAATACTAGTAAGTGGGTGTGTTTTATTGGTAGAAAGCTAAATGAACATTTATTGACTTTGTCATAAAAAATTTAGCTTTTTCATGCTTAAACAACTTTAGAAGCAGTCTGGGAAGGAATCCATTATTTGGACCATTTGAGCTGTAACCAGTAGGGAATATTAGTCATTTGCATGATGTAAATTTTAAATTAACTCAGAATATTGGATTTAATTCCATTGATGTTCAATTTTGTAGGTGGTAACACTTTTTGAACTATATATTTAATGGTGAGTAAAATGTACTCTATTTTGTCATAGTCCATTTTGATAAAAAACACCTAGACACTTAAAAATATTATTAACATCAGAGTGTATGTTTCTGGAATTTTATTAGTAATTTTTAAAACAAACTTCACTAAATGATATTGTCTGGTCCAAATTCAAATTTTGTCATTGACCAAGTGTTTCAGAGTTGGGAAGATACAACATCACAATACTGTCAAGGCATCTAAGTAACCCATCTTGTTTCTTAGGTGAGCAATTCGGGGATGAATGAATGAAGGATGACATTGTATGTGCAAACTAAACATTACCTGCTTATGGTTTACCTCATCAACATTTATCAAGAGCCTTTAATGTGTCACTCACTTCAAATACTAATCCAAATCCATATCAACTCTCTAGGAAGTGAAGAGCCGTGGATAAGACAGAAATGAAGACAAGTGACTAAATACACAATACATTTTTTTAAAAAAAGGGTATACAAAGAACTACTAGGAGTTCTACGAGTACTCTGAGGAAGGAAAAGCTATGAGTCTTGAGTTGAAAAAGGCTTTGGAAAGGAACTCATATCTACATGATATGTAGAAGTTCACTGGATTTCATATACATTTTAATGGATTTTATATATATTTGAATTAAAATAATTCATATATATATGTATATATATGAATTAAAACACTAGATTAGGCACTAATGTGTTGTTTTGTATGGACTGAACAGAGGTCTCTGGCATTGGTGCAGCATGCCTGAGCCCATAAGATGTGGAGTCAGCCAGCCTAAGTTCAGCCTTCTGCCCTTCCACACTCTACACAATTTTCCTTTGTTGTTTTTCAACATCTAATGCCTCATTTTCCTCATAGATAAAATAAAAGGTAACATGAGTTCCAATTCTTAGGATTATTACGTGGTTTAAGTGAACACATACATGTAAGATGTTTACTGCGATTTGTGGAGTGTTCCAAGGGATCAACAAATATTTGCCAATTAGGACACAAGTGCT